TCGGAAGACAATAATAGGGTAATCGAAATTAGAACAACAATAAACAAAAAAAGGTTTCGAATTACAGCTTTATAACGCTCACCATCGAAATGTCCTTCCGAATTCCAAAAACGCTTAAAAAATTACAACAACAAAACACTTAAAGATCAGATTGTGAAATAATAACCGGAGACATGAACAAATATCATATAACATAGATATATTGGACAGTTGTAACGAAGATAGTATATCATATAACAATATGATGAATGGATATGGATTCGCCTCGGCAATGAATGAATTAACCAGAGTTCAAAAATTAGTCATCATGTTTAAATCATATATTCATAAATTAAAATTAAAAGATTTCAAACCAAGTTATGTCACGACGTTTCAATTGTTAGTATCCACAATCGTCTTCGGGTGATAACTGGACTTATTCCTCCGAGAGATGACTATTTATAGGTCGCTCGAGTGCTTTCACCTATCCCCTCTTCACTTTTTCCCGCTTCATTGGTTTCTACGCTAGCTTGACTAAATGCGTTGTTGGACAAAATATACGCGGCTTCTTTGAATTTTCTCCTAAACCAGTGTTCTTCTTTGTGGATGATTTCAGCTTGAGCCCACTTGATGTTATGTTGTTGAGTCCAAACATGCATACAATGGCCTCTTAGTTTCACCGATGTTTGATTGTCCACACTCGCAGGGTACCCAGTAAATGCAATTCTTGGAATCGCAGTCCGCGTTTGGTGGCCTGGTTTTTGTAAGACTGCTATGGATAGTGTTCCCAGATCTGAAGCAGGTCCTGATGTTGTACTTGGACCCAATCCTTCTTATCCTTTCCGATAATCCTCTGATGTAGGGAAGTACAAGTACTGGTTGTGGCGGTTTCTCTTCCTAGTGGAGTTCTTGCTGTCTTCTGGCTAAGGCATGTTCTACCATCACTGCATCACTCCGTAAACACTTCGTTGTAGGTCATTTTTGATGATGCCTAGTTCCTTTTCGAAACCTTCCTTTGTATTACAGAGCCCAAAAGCACGATCTAGTAGAGTCTTGATGAATCCTCTCTTAGTCGATTGATGGTGGTTAGATTTCTGGTTCAGATACTGTCCTGTGTGAGTGGGTTTTCTGCAAGGTAAAACATCATCTTTTGTGAAAAATTCAAGGCATTTCGTTGAACTACTAGGAGAAATCGAAGTCAAAGAGCAGGATCAACTGATCAGTTTCGACGTGGAAAGCCTCTACACCAACGTTCCTGTCGAAGAAACACTTCAAATCATACAGAAGAAGCTATCCAAATATGGGGACCTGAAAGATAGAACAAACTTACCGATACTAGGATGTTGTGTACGAAACTGCTACTTTCAACTGAATTCTTTACGCAAGATGAGGGACTGCCAATGGGATCGCCACTTTCACCTGTTATAGCCAATACATACATGGAAACTCTGGCCATTGAAGAAGCCCACAAGAAGCCCCGAGTCTGGTTGAGATACGTAGACGACACCTTCATAATATGGAACCATGGGGTTGCAGAACTAGACACTTTCCTGAAGCACATCAACAACGTAAGTCCATCCATCACTTCCACAATGGAGAAGGGAGTCCACTACGAATTGCCTTTCTTAGACGTATTGGTGAAGAGGACCGACACTAAATGGGAAACATCTGTATATCGAAAAGCCGCTCACACAGAACAGTATCTGAACCAGAAATCCAACTACTATCAATCGACTAAGAGAGAAATCATCAAGACTCTACTAGACCGTGCTTTTAGGCTCTGTGATACAAAGGAAGGTCTCTAAATGGAACTAGGCATCATCAAAAATGACCTACAACGGAATGGTTACTCCAGAGTGATAGTAGAACAGGCCTTAGCTGGAAGACAGCCAGAACTCCACAAGGAAGAGAAGCCGCCACAACCAGTACTTGTACTTCCCTACATCAGAGGATTATTGGAAAGAATAAGAAGGATTGGGTCCAAGTACAACATTAGGACCTGCTTCAGATCTGGGAACACTATCTGTAGCAGTCTTACAAAAACCAGGCCACCAAACGCGGACTGCGATTCCAAGAATTGCATTTATCGGGTACCCTGCGAGTGCGGAGAATCATACATCGGTGAAACTAAGAGGCCATTGAAAGTTCGCATTGCTGAACACAAGAAACACACACAACGAGGAGAAACCAGCAAATCCGGAATAGCAGAGCATGTTTGGACTCATCAACATAACATCAAGTGGGCTCAA